GCATGTGGGAGTGTGCATCCAAATCTTCATGGTGCATGCTGATGTAATATTGTATTTTACAGTTCTGTTCAGTGACCATGAATAATAGTTCCAAACCGAGGTTGGAGTTGCTGCACATGATAAAAAGCATAGTTTTAAATTTTATCATTTTTTTATTTTTTGACTTTGTATAGTATTGATAATCAATATGTAAATCAAGGAAAACTTGGTGCTGCAGTTTTAGCCAATCATAGTACAGCAGATGTAAGTATCATAGGTATTGCTTTTTGGTCATTTGAACTTAGACTGATTCCATAATTCTGTGTTTTCGCTCTTCTGTCGATTCTGGATATCACTCACACGAAGAAATAAAGTTTGACCAATTGAATTTGGACCGACTAAGTTGATCTTCATGACTAGGTCAATCAGGAAAAGGACACTGTAAACATTAAACAAGATTTGTTTGGTTTTATTTGTTTTAAGATATACATAATATATAAGTTCAATTTGACTCAGTCAGTCAAACKTAATTATATTAATTGATCCCAAATACAGTTAGGTTTGGCTCATGTGAAATTCAAAGTTTGACCTGAGCCTAAGGTGATCTAAGTACTAAGTACTTACATAAATGTTACACTGGGCCATACTAAGGCAGACAAAGGGAGACTGGAGCAGTCTAAGGAAATCTAAAAAGGTGGTCTTAGGCAATCTTAGGTGATCTGTCATTGGTAAGGACCCAGTGTAGGCCTAGTAAAGCTACTTAYACTTCTGTTTATGTCAATGATTTTGCAAATCTTGAGGTTAACAAATTCAATTATGAACTCTTTATTCTGATTTATAAACAAATGTTTCAAAATGTTATTCTTTAAACTTGATAACAGACAGCAAACAATTTAAAACAATAATATTTTATAAATTGATTTTCCATGATCAGAGTTTTTAAATCTGAGAYGTTCTAGCTAATTTGTTGAGCTTGTGATTTATATGTACAKAGGAATGGTAACTAAGAGTCTGAACTATGAATGGCAAGTTACAGTACTTCACCACATCTCAGATTTGAGTGTGTTTGAAGCAATGCCTTTGCAGCTGGGCATGCTATTTTCTTTGGGAGTTTTAGAAAAGCAAAATTTTACAATAAAATATTATGATGACAAGCAGAGCATTTGTTAAAAAGAAGTCAGAAAAAAACTATTAAAAAGATAAAARTGACATTTTAACATTTTTTTAGAACCTACTTTATTGTCCAGCAAAAATACAATAATTACAATGTAAAGTGGGCCTATATATATAATTCTTATTAATCCTTTTTACTTGCCCTTAATTTTTGCTTACAAGTTTTCTCCTTGAATTTGYAGTACAAAATTTTGATTTATGCTGGAAAACAACAACACATTGCAGTAGCAAGGATCCATAGCCAGTTTGTCTTCACAGTAAGATGGATTATGATTATTATATATTTTTATATCATTATTATTTTTTTTGCTGAAAAAATTATTTTTCGTTTTTAGAACATTGGCCATTTTGCTATAGGAAATTAAAATATATATTAAATATAATTTATATATTTTGATGAAGAATCAGCTTTTTCAAAAAAAGATTTTTTGGCCTCCAAAGTTGATTGATAATAATAGTTTTTTWAATTTCTTGCCAAAATTTGTAATCACTATAAAAATTTGTCTTCAAAGACTACAGATAAATTATTTTTTCATATTGATGTGCTGTGAGTCTCTTATATTTTGTTTATGGACCTTGCCTCTTATCTTGTAGGTGCAAGCCAATAACTATGCTAGCTTCTGTGATGATCAAAGGCAAAGGTGGTCTGTTTGTTTTGATTCAGGAAAGAATGCTGAGCAGTTTWCAAAACAGGTACTAGAGTTTTGAATGAAAAATAATACTTTGAGTAGCAAGCTAATGAATTGAGTTGCTTTACCCTGGGATGCCAGGCTTGTTTAGTAGAAAGCTTAAAATGTGAATAAAGTTTTCTGCTATGAACAATTGTTTTTGCTTAATTATAGGTTGGTCTAGCTATCTTCAATACCCAACCAAGTGCTCTTTTTACTCAGGATCTTACTCTTGGTGATGGCCAGGTACACACAGTGAACGCATTATATTGTTATAGGACTTTGTATCATTGTTATGGAGGATACTTTTCAATAATACCTAGATGTAATTGTAGCATACACCTGTAATAACTAAGTAACAGAAAGAATACCTTTTAAGGAAGTTCGCAGCCATYGTCTCTGCACATCCTTTCTGCACATGCTCTCAAGCTCTTTCAAATGAGTGAGGACATCTGGAATATTTTGTTTATGTGACAAATATGATCAAATTCAAAATATTGCCCAAATTTTCGAAGTTGTTGGCTTAATATCTAGAAAACRAATACAGTGTCCCCATTTTTTCATCTTTATATTTTAAAAGTAGTTTTTACCAACATATATAACACAAAATGAAATACAAAAATTCTCAACACAGGATGTATATCAGTGTACTCAGATTGAATATTAAGAGCGTTAGAGACTTAAAGTTTGTGTTTTGTTTTACACTTGCTTCAACTGTACAATGAACTATGACGTCATCAGGAAAAAAGGCTGCCTTTTTCTAGGCTCCACTTTTGAAGAAAAAGAGATATTTGAAAAACAAAAGTGACATTTCACTTCACTAGCAAAGCTCTTTCAATCCAGGCAACAAAAGAAGGGAAAAAAAGCAAGTCAGAAATTTGATCACAGTGGCACTTTAAATTTGTTACTAAGTAATTTACAAGACAATGCTTTGATGTTCATATTTTAAAACTGATATTTATAAATAATCTGGCATTGTGCCCCACACTACACCAACAAAAACAGCGCTGTGGTAGCGAAGGTCGTAACGTGCGGGAACCACTCCTCTTCTCTCCTCTCCTCTCCTCTCCTCTCCTCTCCTCTCCTTTCCTCTGCACTCTACTCCACATTATACTACATTATTTCTCCTTGAAAATAATGTTTATCAGATTTTTCATTTGAATTGTATATAGTGCTATTAATACCATGTTGTATCCTATATTTTAGCCTATTGAGAAAGGGGAYTCAGTCGAGTGCAAGTACACTGGTTGGCTGTGGACTAACAATACATTTGGAAGGGTAATTCCAGCATAATATCGTATCATGTATATGTATATACAATGTATATTCCTACATTTCATATAATATTAATTGTGGAGTGGCAAGGTGACATAGTGGTTAAATGCTGGCCTTTCACCACTGTGAGTCCTATGAGTTGTATCGATCTGGTTGTAGTCCTGCAGATGGCATGTGAATAAAGTTTGTTTGATGTGTTGTTCTCCCTTGCCATGAGGGTTTTTCTTTGGGTCCTCCAGGTTCTCCAGTTTTTCTKTTTTTTAATCAGCATCTTATGAGGGTTACAAGTGTGCTTAAGGTCATTCATAGGCATTGATCTTGTGCATTGACATTTATCTTGTGCATAGGCATAGGCATCCATCTGACGATTGGATCTAATGGAAATTACATATTTTGTGCATAATTTGAATAGGATTCTAGTAAGGTGAAGGGTCCAAGTCAMMAWT